GGTGTCATAGAATACGTTGCGCCGTGGGGTCTCTGGGGCTGGTCTACTAAGAAGACCCAGTGCCTCCTTCAGGTTCGGATGGTGGCAACCGAGGAGGTTTTAGCGAGGTGAGAATCCCACGCTCCCTAGTCTTTTTACCCAAAAGCTAGTCGCCTTTTGAAGGTTTCCCCTGGTCAACAAAAAAAAGTATACTGTGAAAAACTTGACACGTTGTTGACGGTCCGGTGAGTGCAAGCAGAAGTTATTAAGCTAAGGTTAAAAGTTAAACGTTTAACTATTAAGAATTTTCCACTATTACAATATTAAATAACGATAGAAAAAAAAACATATATACCTATTCAAAAATGATACTGAAATAATATAAACATATCCAAGAATATTTTCCTGTAAGTACTACATGAAAATATTTTATGCGAATTTTACAATCCAAACTGAATGTGTTATAAATATTTTCTCGAATATTACCCACCTTCCCATTCCTTGCATAGCTCGCAGCGGAATTCGTATCCAAATCGTATTTTTATCAGGAAATGGAATATGTATTAAAATTCGTTGAATTTGTTTTATAAGCAGTGTTATGATAATTCATTTTTCATTTTGTTAATGGGAATCGATATTTCTATGAGCTATTTATATTCATTCACAGACACATTTACATAACAGTTAGAAAGTAGTTATAGGGCCGATTTTACCAACGCCAGTTAAATTTTATCAAAGGATTAAGTTCGAATATTTGACAATTCTTCCATACTATAAACTGTCAACTGTGAATTTTATTCTACAGTTAAGAATTAACAGACTATTGAAAAATCAGCCCCTAGTAAAGTTGTTACATCTTTGATAAGAAGTGAGTGTTTTTTATCTAATGCTTCGGAAAAACTCGTAATTTGGAATGACTTGATGTCCTGTTTTGACTAAGGAGATATTCAAAAGATTAATTAGAGAAGAGTTTCAGTGTACTTTATAAGTAAACAACAACACCAACAGTCATATAAAAGAGAATCCCCTAATAAAAGAAACATCCGGCCATCCATTTCCATTCATACAGTGTAACGAACAAATCCACTATAATGTTAACTAACTTCAAGAAACAAAGCAAAGAGTCAAAACAAGAATGAGCGAGGCATTGTGGTGCCAACAACCTGCATAACACAATTTCTTGTGCCAGCACTTCCAACAGAGTTAAGAAAGAGGAAATTGCAAGCCTGAACTATTTATGGCTACTAAAGGTGCAACTCGACTTTATGGGACTTTTGATATACGCTTTACATTAGTACCGCAGTATGAGAACATATGAGTAACCACTGTAGATCGATGTTCTGGATTTTATTAGCTTTAGGTTGATAAGTAAGTGAAAACATTATTTTTCACTTGGTTTAAAAGCGTTTTTCTTATTTACGTTTTATTGGTAGGTAGTAATAAATTATGTATGTCTTTTCGGTTAAGATATGTGATGTCATAAACTAACGGACTGCCTGATTAATCTAGTGAGCGAAAATAACGCGTTTAGAATAATAAATCATTTTTAGTGTGGGAGAGCCATGCTTCGGCACAAATGGGCCGGCTCGACCGGAGTGATACCACGGCCTCACAGAAAACCGACGTGAAGCAACGCTTGCGTTGTGTTTCGTCGTGTGAGTGAGGTTACCGGAGGCCCAATTACCCTCCCCTTTCCCAATCTCCCCAATCCCTGAATCCCCAACGATCCTCAAACTCCTAATTCCCAAATGGCCGATAACGCACTTGTAACGCCTCTGGTGTTCCAGGTGTCCATGGGCGACGCCGATTGCTTTCTATCAGGTGATCCGTCTGCTCGATTACCGGATTATGCCATAAAAAAAAAATCTTATGTGATTGCATGACTTTGGAAAATTGTTCTATGTAGATGATCCTATTTTAGTTCTGTACAGCTCCTTATTCCGTCGTAATCTCTACACTAGAAAGGCAACTGAAGTTTCGAGCAATTTTCGGTGAAGGTACAGAGTTCCGTAAGTAATTCAATTTAAAACTTTAAGTGAGAATACCTAACGCCTAAAGTAGAATCTCCTCGAAACTTGACTATTCTTAATAAGGTCACAGGGATAGTAGTGAAGTTTGTCAGAGAACTGATGAATTTTCATTTCTTGAGCTCATGAATAATTATTTATATTTTTTCTAAAAAGAGGTAAAAAGAAGTAAAAAGGTAAGGTCATGATTAACATGGTGATTTTATAAGTACTTAGATGTTATTTATTTTAAACTAGCGACCCGCCCCGGCCCCTTCGCACAGGTGCATTATGCATGTAATATACATATAAATCTTCCTTAAGAATCACTCTATCTATTAAAAAAAACGGCATCAAAATCCGTTGCGTAGTTTTAAAGATCTAAGTATACTTACATAGGGATAGACAGACGGCGGATAACGACTTTGTTTTTATTATGTAGTGATATGCTATAGTATGCCAACAACCACTGAAATAAATAAAAGGAATTTACTGAAGCAAAATAAGGACATGTGTTCAATAAGTACGCAAAATGTTTGCTAACATTCTCTTTTTTCAACAACACCTTAATACAAATTGTAAACTGCGACAGCAATAACATCCTAATGAACACAACTCAGCTGTACCTATTAAAGGGCTCATAACAAAACATCTCAATCCGTTTCAGACATAACGCAGCAATAATACGTACCCTCGGTAGCTGTTACACAAAGTTTCCCGTAATAAAGTTAGGGGCATCAGACAAACGTGATGGCTTCTGACATTCGTACCAGGTTCCAACTACGCGCAGATGTCAACTATAGATATTAGTTCAGCTAGACGATTTAAAATTTAATCAAGGAGTTGAGCTAAAGTGAATTACTTCTTAGTTGGTGCTCGGAAACAAATTGTTTGAAGTTGTGCATCATGTTTTGTTCATTCAAGAGCTTTAATAAAAATTGCCTACATTTGTTATAAGACATTTGTATTACTTCGAATTTTCTTATACCTTCAGAGCATAATGATAACCAGTTTATTAACAGCAAAAAGTGATAAAAATTCATATCATATCATATCCACATATCCACATATGCATAGTGCTAATTCAGTGAAAAAAAACTTAAGTATTATAATGAAAGGGTTATTATTATAAGGAAGCAAAATGATTAATATTTAGCGTTAATATTACAACTAAAATGATGCAGATGCACAATGCACATAGCTTCCATAAAATGTAACTCAAAAGCGAGCAAAGTCACACCTAAAATTGTTACATACTCCGAAAATAATGTTTCCTTGTACGGGGGAAAATCTAGATACGTACAGCAACGTACAAAGAGATTATCATACAATCAGGAGATAAAGGTGTTCTTAGACTGTGTTCATATGGGTAGGAAAATGTAAAGAGTTCTAATAATTCTACGTCATTTGTTTGATTTGTTACAATTGTACATTCGATGATCTTCGTTGTTGAATTGAAATGGAAATGACCTCTGTATCATACATTGTTCAAAAACATCGATAAAATATTGTTATAGCGTCAATTCCTTTTAAAAATTCTGAAAAAAAGAAACAGAAATAAAAAATGTTGCCTTAAAAATAAAATAAATTTTGCAATGGTTTATGTCCAGTGAGAATAAAATCAAACAGTGACCTTGGTCAAGAACCACTTTAATTAATTGTGTACATTCTTTAACAAGCTAATCATTTTATTGCGACTACGACATCATTCTTTCAAAGTTTAATATAACAAAGTACAAAATTGAATGAATGACTCAGTAAAACACAGACTAAAAATGTCATGTGATTCCTTTTTCAAATATAGAATTCAACTGTCAAGTTGTGTAGACCATTGCGCTGCCGGCTGGCTGAATTTATGTCTTGAAACCTTTAAAATATGTATTTTGCCAGAAATAAAAATAACTGCATTGAACTAGAATCAAATTAATCGTTTTAATTCGATTTTTCATGAAATGATATCTTTATATAAAAGATATTTTTAATTAATTATGAAAACACCAACACGACTGAATGACGTAATAAATCCTACTAGGTACTAAATAAATACTATCTTGGAAATATGGAAATGCTCAATCTAAAATCATCCTTAGACACAAACATGTAACACAATTGTAACAAAAGATCTCATGGAAATTGTTTGGTCGTCGCTTAAGGCGCTTGCCTACAATTAGGGGAAAGGTGACCAAAATGGCCTTCTAACAAGGAAAACATCCCAGAAAGGTTTGGACAATGGGTCCCGAAATAATCGGTGTTCCCCTTCTCGGAATGCTATTGTCAGTGTTTGCCTCAGGTTTAAGATGATTGTTTTTGTAGAAGGTCAATTAGGCAAATTGCCCAAACAAACACTCAAAGCAAACGAAATTCGGAAATCAGTTTAACAGGTAGAAAAAACATACGGATATAGTTGAAACACAACCTATAGCTTACTTACAGGTTACCAGGAACACAGCACTAATTATTTTGTGATTGCTAATTAAAATCAGTGACGCACGTAATTTAGGTAGAATGTTCCTAGATAAAGCGTAGCTTTTGTTAAAAGCCTTGTTTTCTAACAAAAAACGTATTAAAGTGTAAGCTTTTCAAAAAGCTATCATAATTTTATTTTTAAGTAGCATCTAGGAAGGGGTGCTATTGTTTTGGTTACTTTGCGCGATTAATCCATTAGGACGCATTTCAAACATGATTAAGCAACGTTGCTACTTTTGTGCAACCCCTTAAGTTTCCAGAAACCATTATACGCCATCTTAATGCTGTTCTTTTCAGAAAACGAACCATTTATTTAAGTGGGGAAGCACACAGCTTGTTAATTTTCGTACACAACGAGAACCCCTTACATTTCGAATGGGCAATTTCACCACAAGAATAAAAATTGAAATATCATCCCATTTACGAAAGAAAAACGATTAAACCGATAACAATAGAATAGAATGCAAACCCTTATTTTACTTTAAAAAATAGAAGCTAAAAATATGATGACAATCCTCTTGTTGAAAAGTTACGTAAGATTTTAATTTAACCGTTTAAAGATCTTCTGGTAAGTAGTAGTACACACCACAGAGAATGACATTCCAGCAGCCCAAATACTCTAAAAATAAGCGTGATGTTTATACTTCAATATTACGTCCCATTTCCGAGCTCACAGTGTCAGTAAAAGAGGCACAAACGTCAGTCGTGTCAAGCCTTGCCCGCATCTGCACGAGCCATAAACAATTGCCTGATTTGGAACGCAACTACTTTTTTCGAACGCATTTGAATAAAAAAGGCGCGAAAATAGAATGTGACAGCCTTGAACTTTTTTATCTGTATCATTTGTGTTTTGTTTTGTAAAAGGTTTATTTTATGATGGAGCGTTTTGTTTTATATTCGGTTTTCGTGATATTTTTAACAAATGGTGAGTTGAATTTTATTTTATTTTATTTTCGCTTTTAATCTAACAAGTACTTACTTACGTATTAATTGATTCTTTATTTTTTGTTCTCGATTAAATATTTTTTGATTTCAATGCAAGTTCTCTATATAAGTATTAATAATGAGTTACGTAAATTGGTTAATGCAATATAGGCGACTTGTGCCGTTAATATGCAAAACTTAAGCAAAGAAACAAGTTGTGGTATAGGCAAATAAGTATGTAGATAGGTAAATACCAGAAGTTTATGTTTACCTACCGTGCTTACAACCAGTAAGTATGTACGTAACCGTTTGACATTTATAGTTTTACTAAAATTAAGTGATAGAGATGCATTTTGTTATATAATTATCATTGAATTAGTTAAAAGGAATATGACGTTAAGTCAGTAATTAAGTAATACCTATATTGAAATCAAAAAGTTAAATGACATTATTTGTGTTTAGAAGTTATATTTTATACTAAATCCTGTACTACAATTATTATTTCTTAAAATACAGAATTATCAAATAAATAGGGTTACGCGGAAAATTGTCGGAATCGGTTTGTAAACATTGACGCAAAGGTTTCGATTTGATCACATTTGCTATCTGGTAAAAACGAAATTATTATTACATTTTGTGAGGGTTATCTCAAAGGAATAACGAATTTAATCAAAGGGTAATTTATATTAATTTAAAACATACTTAATTAGTAAAAATACGTATTTTCATACGGTGAGAAATTTTTGTAAAGGTTCTAGTAATTGATTCAGAGATAATAAAAGAAGTTATGAGAGAGAAACTCTCTGGAGTGGGATTGAAAAAAAAAAATGAATTCGTACATAGACTGTCCTATACACGTAGATAATATAAAAAATAACATTCATTATTAACACACGCACGCACACATATATTAAGAATAACATACTAATGATTATGTATGCAGTGTTTATTGTCAATAATTTGCAACAATAATGTCTAGTATTGCAAAGTTTGCAATTACAAGGCCAAAGTAATTTTGCACAAGTAGGTCCCAATAAAAGAGTTGCAGGTCAATCATTGTATCAATAGACAATGATCTTGGCCGACACTTGGAGTGTCATGTAACTTTACAATGATTGATTGCAAGGACTTTCGCAGAATGTGTGAGACATTTACGTCACAAGTCTTATTATTGATCTTGTTACAGTTTCTGATGGGTTTTTACAAAATTCAAATGGGTACTTAACTTACATAATATTTGGTAAAGTGTTTTTATACTTATTTAATGTTCGAGTTTGAGTTTCTTTAATTGAAAGGTTAAATCTGAAGCTGGATTGGAAATATATCTCATTTTATTTGATTTTAGACGAAGATTATGTAAAATTATTTCACATAACGGTACTTATAGACATTAAATAATAGCGAAACACGGATTTTTAAAAAATTATCACTAGTAGCACAGAGTTTTTTTTTTATATTTGATGGGCCGACGTTTGAAATTGGAATCTGGAGTCTGGTATTGTGCCTGGTATACACCAGCCCTAGCTAGCTAGCCCCTTATTACATGGGTTAAAAGTGGGTGTTACACTGTACACTGGCATATTTACCGTAATGTGCACCTCTGCCTATCCCTTCGGGAATAAAAGGTATGATGATGATATACGAAACAAATAGGAGAGTTCTTTTGCATCTTTATACATATGTTGGTTTCCAGTATAGATATAGACGTATCCTGAAAATACTATAGGTTTTCTAACAACTACTAACATGTTTAATACGTTAGGCACAAAAAGCACACCCATGTTTTTGTCCATTTACAAATCATACTAAATGATTTAATTGAACCCGGTTTTTGCAACTACTTTTTCGTCGATATTTTTGACGTCATAAATGCAACAGCAAATTCAATAACAAAGTCGAGGGCAAACTGAAAATAGGGCTGTCAAAGTATGCATGTGCTAGGTAGGTACTGTTCAGTATTATGAAGTTTGTGAAACTCAATTTTCATACTGTCTATCAAACTGGAAACCGTTTCGAACACTTCTCCGTGCGTTGTGTGGCAAAGAAAAATAAAATAAAATATTATTTTTGATATCACCCAGTAACCTAAATGTTTGAATTTGAAATAAGTGGGTGTAATGACTCTCGGTGTACATTAGTCTTCAAAGGTTTGTTGGTGATCTCTCTTTCGTATGGCGGAAATTATTCAAAGACTTTTCTAAGAAATGTTTTGTAGCAACATGAAAGATCCTCATAATAATATCTATTAATTATTCTTATCTAAAGCGTTTAACACGACGCCTTCATATTTATAATTAATTGAAAATCCCGATATTTATAAAACTAGTCCGCTATAAATGCGAAAGTCAAGGTCAGATATAACAAATTTAGTTTTATTACCTTACCTACAGAATTAAATATGAAATACACAGAAATAAAACAGATTCTTCATAGAAAAATAAGAAGCTATTTATTCGCATTCTTGTACTTCAGTACAATGACCTCATGAAACATCTTACAAATTGTATGTCTTAGGAAAAGTACTAAGATTGCGAAGATTATTTCAATTTACGCACAGGTGTAGAAAAAATACGTAAGCTCCTTTGATCATTACACCCAGATGTGAGCACACATCCTATACCACGACCTAATCTTTTTAAACAGTAATAGATATTTATTTCTTTCTATAAACAAATTTTCTTAATGTTTATACGACTGTTAACTAGCATAAATCTCGCGTCAAAATCTAACGCCTTGGTGTTTGAAACTCAATCCGCATCGGAACATACAATAAACACGTTTATGTTTAATCGATAATGTTGTATTATTATTTGGTAGTTGTAGGTCGTACCTAAACACATACATAATTATATAGAAGAAACATCATGAATATATTCATATCGTGCCTCTAGAAGTAATGTTTTACTTCTTTTTTTCCAGCTCTTGCCAAAGCAACTAAATTTAGGGATAATAGTTATCTTAATTTTCCATTTTTCACCGACGGTCATCAAACTCTAGTAGTGACTCGAGCTGTAGTAAATAGATACCTAAATATATTTTTGTTAGAAAAGGGATACGGATGCAAGTTTAAAATAGAATTTCTAGAGTTCGTTCGATTTTTTTTTCAATAATCTGGAGGTAGATAGTCGTTAATAATACTAGAGAATTTACCTATCTAAGGATTACTTATTCTAAATATTTTTGTGTGAAAGAGAATTGGTATTAGGTACCTACATACCCAGTCCATCTCTTCGATTTTTAAAACTGTACTCTGCACTATGGTACATTTGGTTCGTCCAGTCTCGCTTGATATGCTGACAGCTAGAAAATGGAACAAACATACTTCAAATGCCTTTAGCCCGCAGTAGGTTTTAGATTTTCCTGTGTTTCGATCAGTTTTTTCGAAATTGGAAATTCTGGGTTGCTTTGAAACAATTGCAATCGCGTAACGAAGTAAATACCTTTACGGATTGCATAGTTTCATTTACAGAAAAACTTAAACAAGGATGAACCCTTAATTGTGAAAATTCATAGCGTTATCAATTTTACAATGGCAAGCCATGATGCTTCTGAGAAGGGAAAAGTCTGTTTGCCACCTCTAAGAGGAAAAAACCACTCAACGCTAAAGTTAACCGTTTCTTGGAGATAAACTTTATTTACGGTACCTTGTGTAATGTACTTCTTTACATTTTTCTCTCTTACTCTGGGCGGGACTAGTGAAATAGGGTGTATAGCAACATTACTTACACAGTAGATAAGTACAAAAGAAAGTTACATAAACTTTCTTTTGCTTCATCTAGTTGTAAAATAGAGTCGTAGCTACTAGACGCGGATACTAATTTGAAACAATTAAGTATTTATGTGTTTAGTTTGCCTTATTGGATACGGTTCATAGTTATTTATACATATTCCGTTTTTTATATTTGTGTTAGTGAATGAACAGAATAGAAATAGAATTTAATAACAACAAACACTCCACAAGTGTTGTTACCGTAACAAAATATTTAAAAGCGTAACGTTAGGAGCGTGCATCAGCGACAATTTGATGCGTTCGTTCGGTCACCGACTAGTTGAGCTCGTTAAGCAGACGTGACGTTATCAATTCCTGAAATTATGAGCCCCATTATTTGTGTCATGGTGCTGCTAAATGGGACGCGTGTTCGAGGCTTGGAATTGAAGAATTTTACTGTGCCTTACAATTTAATAGCTTGTGGTATGTTCAGGAATAGTTGGTTTACAGCGTCTTACATCAGGAACCGCCATATTGATATCCGAGTCCAGGAAAAACTGCGGAAGAGTGAATTCCTCACCTATTGTAAATATCACTTATTTGGACCAAAAATGTTATCGTTTTTAAATTTTATAAAGTGTAATTGAGTGTTACATAGTTTATTTAAAAACAATGTTTCAACACTATACTTTACAACTCTATTGTGATCGTTAAATGAGTTACTGAGGGATATAAATAACAGTATTTTTCGAAGAAGAATTTTAAGCCAGATTTATATAGATGTTATGAGGCGTGTGCCTATATTATCTCATGACGTCTAACTTTTAAGTCTTGAAACTAACTACACTTCGCTATTTACTCAGTCAAACTTACTTATACAAATATTCATCTATTTAGATCTCATTTTAGTTCAAGCATAAAACCATTTCTATAAGTCTATAAATAAATAACACTTAAAACATTATGATACCACCGTTTTAAATAAACAGTATGTATATAAAGACTGGCTGAGTACATAGATAATTCCGGTATTCAGTATATCCTGCTCGTTATTAGGTCAATGTATCTTCTTTCATTTGAATTTTACGATAAAAGTAAAAGGTCCGAGATTCAAACACTTACTCCTGATTTACCCTTATTAAGCTACAAGACTAATATCGTTCACTAAATGTATTCAATTGGATAATAACGATGTCTGCTCTTGACTGACATAAGACAACTCGGAAATATTGACCTTGTTTTAAGTAGGTATATTAAATAAGGAATATTTTGGGTATGATTGCTGCGTTGGG